CCTCTCTTCATAATCAACGTACCGCGACTAGTATACAACAATTATGCCGGTTATGTTATAACAGAGACCGCCAACGACATCAAAGTATATCACGAATAAAGCTTTCAGGAGCGAAAGGATAATCCGTTTGCGAAAGCAAAATCGATAAACCGGAAATCTAGATTTATTATTACTGCATATATAAATTATTAGATCTCTTTCTCTTTTATTTAGAAGGATCGAAGAGATATTGGAGATTCAGCAAAAATTTTAAAGTCAGATGTTATATTAATGAACCACTAATTGTAAGTACTTACTAAGCATTGACTTCTGTTCAATTTTATAATCAATTAATGCTTAGTTTTTAGTGAATCAATGCTTAATGAGTTAGTCCTTAAAAAGCATTAATTTACTAAAAAAAAACAAATTATCTTTTTTACTATAACCTAGCATTCTTAAAAATATACGAATATTTTCTCAAATTGTAAGAATAATGCAAGATACATAAAATGGAAATGTAAGAATAATGTAAGAGAGAGATATCATGAAAATTAAAGTAAAATTAAAAAATATATAATATATATTTTAAATCATATAAAACAACACATTTCTCACTTTACTTGATACACAACATATTAAAAAAAATTGTAACAAATGAAATATAATTATATAGAGTCATTAAAAAAATGTTGCAAATGATGAAGAACTAAATACAATTTATACTTAAATTCTTCTGGATCTTTTTAGATCTTTTTTAGAGGTATGCTTTGAAAAGTTATTAATAGATAGAGGTACATGACTTATGAGAATTATCATAAAATCATTCAGATCTTTTGCAATAGTTTTTGCGATAGACAGAGTCGTATTCCTATTATAAGTGTCAGCTACTATAACGTCCTGCTAGAACAGGTTAAAGAACTGTAAACAGGAACGGGGATAGATCAATCATGGGGTTCCCGTAGGCGGTCGTAAAGAAAAGTGTGTGAAAAGCGTGGACAAGGGTATAAAAGGCGCAGCAAAATGGAAGTAAATGGAACCAGTTAATTATGTAGGTGACCGAAATACGCGCGACATGCATCTTTTTCATTCCTTCATGTTAACATCCTGGCAGATCAATGAGGATCACCTTGGACACTTGATAAAAAAAAGAAAAAGAAAAGTAGTTGAAGTTTGTTTTTCGCGAATGAGCTGGACTATCTAGCTCGTCTACGAGCGTCACATCGCTTTGTGGAACGACAAGTCAGATCATTCACAGTGAAATTCATCATTACGGAGTCTCTTAAACGTCCTCACAAAGGATCGTCTTTACGGAAACTGCACTAGATTGTAGGGAGAGACAAAAGAGAGAGAAAGAAGGATGGAAGGAAAGAGAAAGAGCTCGATGCTTTCGAAGCGTCGACGGAAAGCCTATTTTCGTCCGCTTTCAGCGTGCTTATCTGGTATCTCGCTCTCTATTCATAACAAGAGTGCCTTATCAACGGGAGTGAATCCCTGAAGAAAGCGTGATACAGCTGCTGATGCGGAGTCGGTGTGCTCATAAATATTTAATTCTTAATCACGCCGGATGCAAGCCGGTCGCGAGTTTGCACGGGCACCCCTGTACAGGTGGATAGCGATGGCTCTTAGGAACCTAGATAGCAAGGATGAAAGATCCTCTCCTCTCTCGTGTCTCATCTCGCGACGATTATTTATCGGACTTAAGGGGGTCTCTGACGCAGATTCACCCTCGCGCGGGATCCCATGCTCTTGTGAAAAACGGAGGGCTTTTATGTTATAATCGCGGAAAAATATGACAAAAGTACGACATTGTGTAATATGTTCTACAACTTACGATCCGTCTGTCCGCGTAAACATGGGCTTAATGGGAGGAGCCGGGATTGCTTCTTATAGCGACTACTCGATACAATTGTTTCGTGAACTTAAATTCTCGCAAAGCGAATCATTATTGCCACCGACGAGATATAATAGTATCGGTGTCATCAACACAGAAAAAAATTACGGATAATTACTTTTAGACTAAAAATCTATAATGCGCCATTGTTTTCGAGAGCGAAATTAGATACTGATGGTAGATTGATAGTTGAAAGGCTCGCAAAGTGCCCTCCAATTTTTCAAGTGTTTAGATTAAGGGGCTCCTAAAGCCGTCTGTATTACCGATTAAATCGTAATTTTTGTATTATAAATACTTTTTTTCTCTTTGACAGATTCGAAAATCCTTTTCCAGAATTAAATACGTGTTTGTAAGGTGGAATTTATGCCGAAACGACAAAAAATTTCGAAATTAAAAAATCTTAAGAAAAATTTTTTGTCGTTCTCGACATAAACTCAGATAATATAATCCACTTCATAAACACGTATTAATGTGTATACTTTAATCCTGGAAAAGGATTTTTGAATCTGTGAAAGAGGAAAAAAGTATTTGTTATACAAAAATTACGATTTAGCCGGTAATACAGACGGCTTTAGGATCCCCTTAAAGTAGAGATCCTATAAGTACTTATAAAGCTTCACTTTATTTGTACCCTAAAGGCACCTTCATTCTACTGCTACATCTATATTATCCAAGTCCGGATTGTAAGCGTGCGAGTGTTGAAATATGGCTTTCTCTTCTATAATCAAATAAATTTTACTTATCTCTCTTGCTGGAAAAAAGATCGTCTAAAAACGGAACATTGAAGATCATCATTATACAATGAGGATTCTAGGTAGACATCCAACAACGCGATAAGGTGAAATCGCGAGTCGGTGAAGTTTGTTAGTATCATCATCATCATCCTGGACGACGTCGCCAAATGCGACTTTTTTAAGAAAATAAATAAAAGAGACAGAGAATCAAAAAAGAAAAAGAAAGAGAAAGAGAAAGATAAATATCTATTATATCGTTCTATGGCAAGTCCTTTAAAAACATACAAAAATAATATAAGTAAAGAAAAATAACAAGGACATAAGAAAAATAATATAAAGAAAAAATAAAATAATGATATAAAGTAAAAAAATTCCAAAGAAAAAATAAAAATAAAATTTGGAGAAGAAATAAAAAGGGGTAGAGATCATACAAGAGAAGAGTAACAAGAAATGGATTTCTAAGACTAACACGAGAGACAGAAAAAAGAAAGAGACAGCTATTTGTACAACTACTGCAAGCGGAGAGGATGAGAGACCGAGAAAAGAGATATAATTCGATCCTAGCTCGACGAGCGAATATCCTCATGTCATATAACTAACTCCGTGACGATTTAATCCTATATTGGATCTACTCTGTATCGGCGAACATCCCGGTATAAAGCTGCCGTTAAACTGAACCTGTGGATAGGTTGTCTATGCGGTTGTGTATAGAATTAAATAAATAACATATATATTTTCAGAGAATTTGAATACGAGTCATACTGTTAAATTCATAATGTCAAATTATATCCAATTTGAGTTATTTTTATAATCATTTCTATAGATCATCGCTGTTTTCCTACTCAGCATATCATTAATTTAATTAAAACAATGGAGTTAAACAATTTAACCCAAAATGTATTAAATTTGATTCACATTTAATTTATTATTTACTAAGTGCATACGTTAATATGGATGTTATTTACTTTGAAATTAACTGCAGGAATGGATTAATTTGTAAATTTTGACACACATGGAAGTTAAAAATAACAAAACGTTATTTAACTTAAGAGATTAGGTTATCGTTGCTTTTTTAATATCAAACAGTATATGCCAGACGAAAATGATCTTCGAGTATCTGAAAAAAATAATTAGATTCAGCAGCGTTTCTTGCGTGCATGTGTAATCTTTTTTGTACAAATGATGGGTATGTAATATCAAACAATTAACTCTTTTACTTGCGTTATTATTAAAGCTATTTTGAAAATTTCTTGCTTCTCACATATAATAATTTCCACATAAACAATAGACATTTAATGTCTATTGTTAAATGATACGATCGATTGCTTTATTTGTGTTATAATTAAAGCGAGATATAATAAACTCATATACCTTCACAAAATTGTTAAATTGCAATATTTAATCCACGTCCTGTACAAAAACGTTAGAATTTATTTTTATTTACATTTTATCACGACAAGAAGTTTATATTTGATATTTATAATAAGTAAAATTGTTTTAATTCTGCTAAAATTGCACTAATGCAAATAAAATAACGAGATGGGTTAAAAGCTACAGAATGTATGAATGTTAAAATTTTAATCTAATGGAAAATTTGCGGAGCCGACGTCACGGCTGCAAAAGGTCGAACTGCGCTTTCTTCGCCCTCGACTCGTTCGAGGTGATTAGCTCGTGCCGTAGCTACAAATTCAATACTCTTTCTCCGCTCAGACCATAATTATCCGATACGCATAACGCGAAACAGAGCGCGATAAGTGCCGGGTAAATGCGCAGCTATAAGCGTAACACCCCCGCATAACATTCGTGGCTAAATTTACCTACTACTTTGCCAGGGCACGCGAAATTTCGTTCGCTATTAAATCGTTTCGCTGTACTTACCATCAACGAGCATTAAGCGTGCGTGGGTCTGGTTAAGTCCTCCAGAATCTCCAGATGAGAATATTTCGCCGGATTTCTTCGCAGCGAGCCCGCAGACCGTAAAATTGATCCAAACTTGCCGAGCCACCGATAAGTATTCTTTCAATTTATCGTAACACCCGTAAATGTTTAAAACTCGTTCGGCTCCTGCTTTATGAAAACAAGATGTTAGGTATGTGTAGGAGAAAAAGGATGAAAAAATATAAGAATAGGGAAGTAAGATTAAACGTTGAATGGAGATTTCTTTTCATTCAGACGTCTATGTGAACTGTAAAGGATATTGGGTATTGTTACTTAAGAAGTATTTGTTCTGCGTTGAATTGGAAAATGAAGATAGCAAATATACATTCGAGTAAGGATATGCGCGAAGGCGCGTGTTGAAGAAGTGAATTTCAAATCGAAAAAGACAATAAATAAAACGCAGCACATATACATACGATAATTAAAATGTATATTAACTAAATTTAATAACAGCGCTTAAAGTGTACAAGTAGTAGAAAAGATGATTCTTAATCACATATATATCTACAACAAAATTGCGCTCTTATGAGAGAGAGCTAAGTGGCGTAATTGAAACCGCTGAATAAATATACACGTAAAACATATGCAGTAATCTTTTTTATATTCTCGTATTATCAATTTCGAAAAGATCACTGTATCGTTCTCATTACTCAGTGGCCTCAATTGTTCCACTTTACGTCAACAAAAATAAGATCTGTATAAATAAAACGTAAGATAAAAAATTGCGTCAGTCGCGTTTCCCAGAGCCGATGTTCTTTTGCGTCAACCACGCCGGATCGATGACAGACAGACCGCGAAGGTAACATCTCCCGGTGGCTACGACCTCAGTGAATAGCAGTAACGGTGGCTTCGTACCGTGCAACGTCGAGGAAGGGTGTATGGTTACCGGCTGCTTCGAGTACACCTATACCGAATGCGTAATGCCATTACGCGATATTCTCTTTGCTTAGAAACTCGAGCAAAGCACAGATACAAACAATAGAGGAATATAAAGATAAAAATGAAATTATTTAGAATTTCTGCCCGTATTCTTCATGGCTGCTTCTTAAATCTTTATCATTCAAAGAAAAAAGTAAATACTGTAAAATGAATGAAAGAGAAAGAAATGATTAATCAATAATCTGCTGATTAAAGTTCGCTAAAATGACATAAAGAGAAATATTGAAAATATGAAAGTTTCAAGATATCAATGTGATAAAAGATACTTTTCTATAAAATTAATCATTATGCAATATAACATATTTTAATAATAAGTATTTATTAAAAATAAGAGCCTTTTAATCAGAAGAAAATTCTATAATTTATGTTATTTCATGATATATTATATAAGGGTGTTTCATTTTAAATAATATGGTCGATTATCTCATGAATCGATGTTTTAAAAAAACATTAATGACCTTGACCTGATTTTGACAAGGTCACTCAAGGTCAAGTCCACATTTCCATCATGTGTCCCCCTTCAAACCATGCAACTTTTGTTCGAAAAATTTTTCAATAAAATCATCGATTCGCGAGATAATCGACCATATCACTTAAAATGAAACACCCTGTATATGTATATATAATATACATATATATAAATTATTTCTACATATTTTATAATAAACAGGGAAAAGAAAGAACAATTTTATAATATTAGAAAATTGGCAGTAAGAAGAATATAATAATACAGAAATAATAGGGAGTTTTTGCAATACAGTTTATCCCGATACGATGAACGAAAGATCAGGTTACAGTCTTCTTAACGACTAATGAAGAAAAGGATAATGTGACTTTAGCGTTCACCGTATCTGGATTCACGTTATTGCAAAAACTCTCTATTATATACGCATGAAAGAGAACATTTACTTACCGTGACATACGTCTGATCCCTTTGCAGCTCAGCGAGGTTCTCGTATAATCCCTCGAGAAAAGCTTTTCTAAGTTGCTTCGTATTCGTTCCGCAGCTCGCCTTCTCCAAATTCGCACGTTCCGCCAACGCCGCAAGCTGTTGCCTCACTTCCGACCCGTATTCCAGATTTCGATGGTGCAAGAAGTTCTCATGGCACCACACCTTCTTCTGCGCGGTGCTTTGGTATGCTCGGAACACATTCAACAACGTTACGTGATCCCCCTCAGGCGAGGCAAATCTGGAATTCCCCAATGAGTTACTCGAGCAACATTAAATAATAACTTACGTAGCCAATCGCGAATTTTGATGGAAAATGCACTCTATCGCGGATACAGTACTCCGTAACAATAATTAGTATAAATTTGATTTTGATTTCATCTTTCTACTTAGTGTGTATTTTTAGACGATAAATATATTGCCGGCAAGGGCCATACCGTGAACGTGCATTGTAAGCCTGTTCTCTCTTCGTAGGCGGATCCATGAAAATCGATTCTCCGGATAATAAAGCAATAACCGTCAGTGCTTCCTCCAAACACCTGTGTTCCACCGACGCGAGGATCACTTTGGTAAATCGAGGGTCTAACGGGAAAAGTGACATCGTTCGGCCGAGTGTAGTCAACTGTGGTGGAGATCCTTTTAGGAGGGATTATATAAGAATTTATTGTCTCTATCGAAACAATTCCCATTATTCGCATCTTGCTCGATACAACGAAATAAAAACGCGAACAGTCTCAACTGTCTTAACGCTGATCAATCGTTTTCTTTCATCGGATCTCAATCTCAATATGAAAAAAAATCTATCATATTTTGATTTAATATTAAATGACAAAATTTTTATTTAAAAAATAACACTAATAAAAATAAATAAGAAATTTAGTAAATATAATTTAATAAGTATATAACTGATATATCTATATAAGTAGAATCCCTATTTTCTTTAAACGGATAAATGTATTGAAGAAAATGTTTTTAATAGTAAATAGAGATATCGGTAGTATTACCTTTAACTGCACCCAGCTTTTCTAAACAGTTCACGGCCACGTCTATGCTCTCCTTGGGCGGTTTATCCATGAAATCGAAGGTGGTAATGTCAACGCCGATAGCGAGCAGTTGTAGAGCGACTCCCGCGAGAGAACATCTTTGAATTTCTGGTATTGGCATATCCTTCATCTTTTCGAATTCTTCTCGTGTATAAGCTCTATAACACTTGCCTGATGCTTCGCGAGCAGCTCTACCTGCTCTTTGCCAGGCTTGAGCTTGTGAAATTTTCTCAACCCTCAATACGTCTAATCCCGTTGTTGGGTGATGTGTTCTCGCTTTGACCACACCGGTATCGATCACGTGATGAATTCCTACATATATTTAACTTCTGTATTAAGTACTCAGATTAGATTTTAATCAGTAAGGTCGAAAATAGTAACTATTAATATATAATTAATGTTCAAATAAGCGCGATGTTAAAAATAACAATTAATCTCGTGTAGTATGCCGCTTCAGTTATCGCGTTGGAAAAACATTACAAAAAGCTTTTAAAAATAAATTTCCTTTAAGTCTTGTCTTATCTTTATAATTATCTAGCGTAAAAAAAAAACCTTAGCGCTGATAAAAATGTTTTTATTCCTTCAATTTTTTTATTTAGAAAATTAAGAAAAAAATTGAGGGTGAAGATATATATACGTACCGCTAATCGTGACAGATGTCTCGGCGACGTTTGTCGATAATATTAATTTCCGCATTCCGGGCGCCGAAGCTTTAAAAGCTTCCAACTGCTGATGAGTAGGCAGTGCCGCGTACAAAGGAAAGACTTTCAGAGGCGGATACTCCTGTCCGTCTAATTGTTTAGCCACTTGTCGAGCGGCTATTGTAGCCGCTTCTATTTCTTCTTGACCGGTCAAAAAGATGAGAATATCCTCACTAGAAAATCAAAGATTAAAAACTTACTAAAATATATTGGCATGTGTGCAGCTATGTAAGAGCCATTAATTTATAATCGATAGATTTCGAGTTTAATCCCGACCCTCATCTCGTACATATTTTAGTTTATAAAAAATTGATTTCAGGGTTATGAATAAAAAAGTATATGATAAAACTGTAATCATTTTGGAAAGAATAAATTCTTTAACATACTATCACATTATCTATTCCTATATATGTTCTCTCTAGAATACATAATTTATATTACATGTTAGAATTTCGTGCTGTTCTTACTTTGCGGGTGCTTCGCGGTGAATTTGAAACGCCGTGGCTAGCGCAGCGAATGCGTAATCCTGTTGCGAGGAGACGGCATGAAAAATTCTCAAGGGATGCTGACGGCCCTCTAGATACAACGCCGGTGCCTGGAAATACTCCTTGAATTTAACGGGGTCCATTGTGGCCGACATAATTAAAAGTTTTAAGGGCGGTAAATTCTTCAATTTGCGCAAATTCTGCGCTCGTCTCGCCACCCCGAATAAAACGTCGGTGTGCACAGATCGCTCATGAGCTTCGTCCAGTATCACTACCTGTTGCAAAGTTATAAACTTATGCAATAATTGGGTAGGTAATCTGATAAGCAGCAAAAAAGAATGTTTAAATAGATTTTCTACATTTCATGGAAATTAGTATCTAGAGGAAATTAAATATAATAGTATCTTGAAAATCCTCAATTTTTATTTTTTGTTAAAATATTAAAATGTCTAATATATCAGAACTCAATTTAAAATAGATTAATTCCAGAACAGTTTGCATAATACATGTAAATTACAGATATTATGATAATATTTTTTGTTGCAACCTAAATTTTATTTAAAACTTCGTTGTTATATTAATTTTGAAATACAATCTTGCTCTTCTACAAATGATCGCATTGCTTAAGCGTGATAATAATATAATAATATACCGAGTAATCCGACAGAATCTCATCGGTCATCGCCTCTCGAACCATCATGCCGTCCGTCAGATATTTGATTCTCGTTTGTGATGAAGTACAATCTTCAAAACGAACACAGTAGCCCACCAATTTTCCAGGTTTCACCCCTTGTTCCTGTGCAACCCGACGGGCTATGCTGACCGCCGCTATCCTCCGTGGTTGCGTGATGCCGATGCAACCGGATGATCCAGCAATCCCGGCCTGGAGTAACAGCTGTGGAATCTGCGTGCTTTTACCGCTGCCGGTTTCGCCTATTATAATCAGAGTACTGTGCCGACGTATCTCGTCTAACAGCCTGGAAATTCATAAACGATTATTCCTCCTGAATAAAAACAGTGATATTTGAACGAAATAATATACAGTGTTAAATATATAATAAAAAAATAATATACAGTGTTAAATATATAAAGAATATATAATATTAAGTAAAAGTACATTTTGTCAAATTAATGGAATATTTATTGCGACATAAACAGAGATAAATAGAGATAAACATTTTATATATTATAGTTTAATCTAATATATATTTTTGTCGGGTTATTATTAATCCTATTTATGTGTGTCTCTATTATATACATATAACAGATTGTGTTATTAATTCTACTTGTATATAACATTTGTAATATAATAATACATGTAACAAAATATCTACTTTACTTATGTAATATTTATAAAATATAAAAAAAATTTTATATTTGTATTTTTTATAAAAATTTTTCAAAAATAAAATTTAAAAGTTATCATGTGACATTTATATATATGATATATAATGATACAATGTATAGTATCAATTTTTCAGAATAAAAATTATATATAGAACTATATACTATTTTTTAGTAGATATAATAAAATCTGTTTTCAGTAATTATTAAAATTTTTTATGCCCTTAAATAATAATTATATATTATTTTAACACATATACATATAATTTGATTATTACCTGATACTATAAGATAAAAAATAATATAAGAATACATTTTTAAATCAGTCAGTAGCTTTCAATATCTTTCCTAACATCTTAATATTATATGTATAATGTATAACGGTTATACTTATACTGTATATATTTTTCTCAAATTCTTACAAAATGCATAAGGTTGTAAATAAACAAATCGATCAACAGTACCATAATATTAGTTGCATTCTCTACTTTATCGACTGCGAGCAAACGTCGTGACGAAATTATCCTAAAATCCTAAATTATCTCCGTTAGCTAATTCGCAATCAACAAATCCATACAGATTAAGCCTCCATTTTGAAACATCCTGTATATGCAATGCTTGCAGGATAGACATCACGGATATCATCCTTTTTTTTTCTTTTATGCGTGAAAAATACACACTTTTCTCTCGTAGTTCCTCGAGAAACTTACCGTTTACGGAGTATATAAACGGGTAGCGATTTTCTCCGCTGGTGCAAGCTAATGTTCGTCCTGTCGCTATTCTTCGTCGCATTCGCGACTGTGTTGTCATCGTTCGTTTTCTGCGCTTTGTTGGGATTTTCGCGGAATACGACGGTGCTGGGCCGCTTCATGGCCAATTTCGACTTCCCCATCGCACTGAACTTGGGATCCGTATCGTCGTGGACCCTCATCTCGCTGCAAACCACTCAGAACGTCTCGGACGAGCGCGTATTTGCGTATATATCACTTGCTGCACAGTAAGCACGTGTTGCGCGCTACAGCTGTTCCGTCTGTCTTTCCGTGCTGCTACCTGCTGACCGTCTATACGCCCTCTTGTCATGCGCCGTGCGTATCTGGATCTGCACTCCAGGGGCTCTATTCTTGAAAAGAAACGTATACGAAAAACTAAGAAAATACTACGGTATACGTAACGTATTTCCCTAGACTTTCGTATATACGTTTCTTTTCAAGAATAGACCCCCAGGGGTGTGATTACAATTCACTTTTCTGCAAATGTTTTGTTGACCAATCAGAAGAAAGATACTCCAAAACACCGAACACCACTGTGCGAAATGTCGAGTTATTGTAAATTTTTTGCATACCGGATGCAAGTAGATGTGTGCAGCGTGGACAAAGAATTCTTGGCGTTACGTATTTCCGGGGAGTCGAGAAGGTTCACATATGTGTATAAAGGCCAATATTTTATAATAAATATTATAACTATATTAACAAAATATTAGCAATTTTTATAATTTTGTGTTTTTTTTTAAGATTACAAACTTTTAAATTATTTATACATAACATAAAAAAATATACTTTATAATATATGTAGAAATATTACGTTTTACATAAAATATATATTTTAATATATTTTACATAATTTATAATACATATATTGATATAAAACATTTATAAATGTAAGATATATTAGTTCTCTTGTAAAAAAATAATTAAATCAGAAAATCTGCGCGAGTGTGCTTTATGAAGTTACACACACAAATCCCTAATTTTCAAAATCTCTTTCAGAATTTATAAAAGTTTACGATTTTATTTTCATTTTTTTAAAAATTTATATATAATTCTCTACTTGATATCAGAGCAACATTTGAGAAATCGTATCGTAGCTGCAGCGAACAGAATATCGCAAGAACAGTGCCTGGCTGCTACAAGAGCCGTGTTTGACAGATGCAATGCTTGTATTGCTGCAAGAGGTGCACATTTCGAACAAAATCTTCATTAAAAAGTTTATAAATAAAATAATTAAAATAATAAATTAAATATATTTTTTTCTTTTTTCGTGATTTCCTGCGAAACAAAGCAAAAAGGAGCATATGTCTATAGGACTTTTTTTCTTAGTTTTTTACTCCTCTACACGCTCCCGAAGTTTTGCCATTTAATTTGGAAACACCCTGTATATATATATATATATATAATCTCTTAAACAGTCTTATAATCAAAGAACTTTGGGAATATTAAAATGTGCATATTAAAACATACAGTCAAAGTAAAATAATGGATGGCTTTTTAATATAATTCGTTAGTTTATTTTAAAAAAAAGACAATGGTCAGATCAAACATTTATTATATTACATCAATATATATTACACGTCAAGTATTTTATGGACAAGTAATTTCGCAACGCTTACGTTTTAAATTAGAGGTAAAAAAAATGATTCACATTCTATCATTATTGATATAAAATGCAATTGTGTTATCATCAAATTATTAAAAATTTTATATAGACGTACATAATTGTAATCTAGATCAAAACTATCAAAGAAAAAAGGCTATTGTTAAATGCAATTGTTAATATGAAATCTCATATAAAATTGCGCGCCGCGTTACGAAATTATCACAGATCAAGCTGTGTGTAATAGGAAGACACAATGAGCCAACTTTGTTCTTAAAGATTTAAAAGTATTTTTACACACCTATTTGTATCATAAATTTGCAGCTAAATTATCATCGTAATGGTCGATGAATTGGTGTAATCGCATGTGGGGGTACCTAGAATTTAAAAACGTGCATTATTAAAAAATTACGATTTATAATTTGGATTTTTTTCAGTATATATTTTTGTTTTTACAGTCTATCACCTTTTTTTACAGAAAAAAAAATAAGACTATATATATTATTTTATAAGAGAATCGATTTACCATTGCACCAATACGAGATAAATAACGATTTCGTATACTGATATCAGATTGAGGTTGCATAAGACTATCAGCTGATAAATCCGATGTGCATTCCGATGATAACAATTTTTCTCGTTCCAAACTTTCAGGAGTGCATTGAACTGTCTCATATCGTTCCCTTTGTCCTGGTGTCATGTTGAGATAACCACCACTTGTTGCCATGTCAGACATCCAGATTGCACCAGCGGTTATCAACGAAACTGTTACAGCGTAAAATACGTTATTTAAATTTCGTATTTCTATGTGAAAATTGTTCGCTTGAATGTCCAAAAGTTCTCAAAAATACTCACTCCAGAGCCAACCAAGGAAGAACATCTCGAGCATTAAATATCCTCCTTTATCAACAATAATGCCAGCCACAATTGAGACTACAGCAAGACCTAAGTTTTGTACAGATTGCGCTCTAAAAAGATTATATTAATTTTATTTCTAGCACACTCTTTTAACAGTATTTTGTTCTGACAATGAGACTACTAAAGAATAGATATTTACATTCCATAAGCAGTTCCAAGTTGATGCTCTGGCGTCACGAGAGCAATTAGAGGCCATAAACTACTTGCGAGCATAGAATAGGCCAATCCCATGAGAACCATACATACATAGGGACTCAAATAGGTAAAAGCGAGCAAACCATGAGCAATAATAGTCACACAAATACTAATAAACACCCAAGATACGTTTTTGCCTGTTCTATCTACTAAATAACCTAATAGAGGCGAAGCTATCGCTGATATTGAATAAACAAGAGAATTCACTGTATTTGCGGCGGATGGCTCATATTCATACTTTCGCTCGAAAAATACTCTGAAACAAAATTAACGAAAATTAATCTTTTTATCTTGTATATATAATTATGTATGAAAAATTGAATAAGAGAATTAGTTTTTAAAATTAATTTTAATGTGATATTATTAATTTATATGGACTTTGGCTAATGCGACTTAAAAGTCGTACCATTCAATAAGTGCTATCGAATACTTACTTTCCTAAAGCGATAAAGGGGAATATCGCGACATAATAAGCAATGCAAATGAGCGCGACCAACCAAAAGATTGGCTTGAAATCCTTGACGTCCTTTAGACTAACAACCTGTGGCTCCTGTCCTTCTCCTCGTCGGAGCAATCTCTCTGCTCGTTTATCCATAAAACCCAATGCACAGGCGCATATCATCGACATCACGCAGGTAGTGGATGCGAGAAAGAGAACTACGCCGATGCACTGTGGACCCGTATAATACTGAGATACGTAATTGTATACTGGCTCCATTACTAAGAAGTTCACGGTCGATCCTACTCGAGCGAAGCTCAACTGCAGCCCGAACACCATGTTCAATTCTTTGCCTTTGAACCAAAGGACCGCGTAACTATTTTGAGCGACTGCCAATGATTCTGCGCCGATTCTGCAGAAAAGAAACAATTATTAATTTGATGATCTTATAAAAGGACATGAATTTTAAAACATTCTGCATTTCCGATGAAATAATATTGAAAACATACCCAAAGACAAATCGACCAAGCATCATTACCCAGAAAGCATCAATCATAGCGCCACTCGCAAAAATTATCTGGCCGATTAATGTTAGTGCCATATATATCACCGTACCTAATCGAATTCCAAAGACGCTATCCAACAGGAATCCACCAATGAAGCATAAAATGACATTCGGCCAAGAATAAATAGAATATAATAAAACAAATGTGCTAGTCGACATTTGCAAGTCAGTTTTAAAATTATCCTGCAATGCTCCAGGGTTATCGAAGCAAAAGTACGAACCTAAAATAAAAAACATACATCTATTGAAATTTTTGCTAGAATCATAATGCTAACATTAAATAAATTTTATAAAAAATCTAGCGCTTCTCTTTTCAATGAAATAAATCACTCTGTGTGCTAAAAGCTTTACTTTGCTTTAATAAACGAAGATACCCTATCATGTATGCATAGTTCGATTGTGTCATAGATTATAATATTACTTATACAACATATGGCCAATATTTTAAAAAAATGTGATAAACCGCACAAAGAGGACATTCACGATATGCCTTATCTAAGCAATGTCAAATTTTTCTCTGTGATTAATAGCAAGAAGACATAATATAGAGAATATGTTTAAACAATTTCTATTTCAGCTCAACTAATTATTCTCTTTTTTTATTGTTTTTCTATATATAAAATTTTGGCTATTAAATCACAATTAAAACATTTCTTATAAAATAGAAAAAAGTATAATTACAGCAATGTTTTATAAATATAGTTAGATTTTACTCATCAGAGATTTTAATATTAAATAAATACCACACGAATAAAATATGAAATTATTACATTTGATACTAAAAAAATACTAAATAAATAAAATTCGAAAATCGTGCAAATGATCTCGTTTGAAATATGTATATTTTGTTTAATATTAGAAATTTTAATATTAAATAAGTTGCCCATAAATAGTGCAAAATATTATCATACTAGGTATTGAAAAATATCAAACAGCATTAAAACAAATAGAATTCTAGATTCAGGTGACCTCGTTTTTTAAATAAAATACATTTCTACATATAAATATAAATCACGGAAATGAGGAATGCGACGATGTATCAGTCACACGATGAGCAAACGAGACTCATCGATTATACATCTCGTTCGCCGAGTCGTCATAATTCACGATAACAACTCGCTCTTTGGCAGGTGACACCATTCTGGCGTGGCACGGAGCGTTGACAGATAAAAAATAAAAACAAAGGACGCGTCGTTTGATGTAAACAATTTCACGTTTTCGTTTACGTTAAGTCTGTACCGAATCCAAGCAGACACATGAGCGCCAGGCCCAAAAATCGGTAAGGCGCCTTTTTTGGGCTGCAGCATCCCTGAAGGGCCGCCTCGTCCTCGGATCGGTCCAAATTATCACCGCCCGAGTTGTCCATCATGCCTCCCTCCATATCGTTGACGTTATTGTTCTCACAATGTGCCTTTAATTGTTGTTGTTTAAGATGTATCGTGCTTTATCGTTTGAACAG